GCAAATCAGCGTCGAGCCAGGGGGTGAGAAGTCATCACCTGACTCAGCCAAGAGGCATCAAGTTAATCGGCGGCTTCACTTTTCGGCTTCACAAATTTTTTTACCCCCTTCCCCCCTTTGACAATCAAATTACGTTTCACGTGAAAAAAACAAAGATCATGTAAAACGCCGTTAAACGTTTACTGATAGTTACGGGCAGGCACAGAATTTTTAACGCGTTTCAAAACCAAGGTGTCGTCGTTCCCTGCCATCTTCCTGAAATCGCACACATTGATCGCTTACAGAAAAATGGTCAGTGTTAGTTTTCACATTTCTGAGTGAGGCAATGTACATTAGGTTACCTCTAAAGTATTCATAGTAAAAAAACAATAAACGAACGTTATTGAAAAACATATCAGAGGTATCTGTTTAACGTCTTGGGCATCCTTGTGTGTTTGTTGGAGCTTTTGAAACACACCTAGACAACCGAGATACTCCAAGGCGTATTCACCGTCTTTGCGGTTTATATGGTTAGTGTTCATTTATAGTGGTTCTAGAGTGTACATAATCTTCGTATTAGCTTAAAGATGTGAGCATAACTTCTCAAGTGTGCGATTGTACGGACCTAGCTGGTGAGATGTAACTATAGTCTGTGACAGGTTAAGTTGCAGTAGATGCTCCGCCTCCAGCTTGAGCTTTTCGCCTTTCATAACAGTTCGTCGCACGCGCAATCAAAACACAGAGGAAGACAATGAGTGCATCCTATAGGCGGAGCTTTAGCGACTCCGACAAAACCTTTGTTTTAAGCCTCTTAAGCCTCTATGACAGGCAGCGCAGCAGCAGGACTGGCGGTCGTAAGCAACTTAAAAGCTGGTACTGTCAGTCGCAACGCACTCGAACGCAAATTTATGAACTTGCAGCCTTTTAGTGTGTCACCGATATAGTTATATTGTAGCAATGCGACGGCGCGCTGCGTCCGTCTACAATATGGAGTACTCTACGCACATGTATATTATATATCAAGGGTTGCCAAACTGCGGCCCTTCGCGGGTTGAAGTGCGACTCGCGGCTACCTGGTAAGGGTGCCCCCCTTCCCCTCTTGTACAACAAAACAGAACAAAAAGTTCCAAAATTTAAAGAAAATATAAATATAAAGCTCACAGTCTGCGGCATTGTACTACACTAAGTACATACGGCTGGACTGCTTTCTGACACATTGATGTGTCCAGCGGCACCGTTTCCTCCACTGTCAGTGATGTGATTGCTGCGCCAATTGCGCCAAACTGCGCCTAGGGGCTAACCCTGCTACATCCTGCTACATTTTACCAAAATATGGGTAATCTGCGCCAAGCCTGCGCCCAAGGGCCGATTTCGGTCGCCTTTCAAGACCGCAACTAAACTGAGAACCACAATTGGGCATGCGTGAGCTAGGTGGCGCAAGCGGCCTCCTCACACTAGAGTTCCTGTATGTAGCTACCTACGGTAGCAGAGTTGCGCATTCAGCCTCGGCGGGTAACCGTAGCGCCGGCTTTCCTGCACGCCCTGGATGCTTTGCTCCCCACGTGACTAAATTTGGCGAATAGCGGCGCTGCGCGCGCCGCCGCGCATGGAAAACAGAAAAAGAGAAGGAGGCGAAAGCAGGGAAACATACGCCGGGGCGCGAGCAACGTCGGCGGAGCGACCGTAAAGGTGGCTTTCTTGCACGGCACCGGATGCTTTGCTCCTCACGTGATAAATCTCGGCGAATAGCGGAGTGGCGGCGCGGGGAAAACAAATGCACAACTTTGCTCCCCCTTCGGGGGAGCGTATCGAGGAACTCTACCTAACACAAAGTACCCCGCGTCAATCGTCCATAACCACCCCCCCCCCCCCCAACCCCCCCACCCCCTCTCTTGTATGGTTTTTCCCGCCGTCTCGCGTTTAGCGCCCTCGTCGTCTCAGGAATATCTTTTTTCTAATTTTTTCAACGATAGATGCGGACAGTGCGGACGCTCCGACGCTAGTGTGCCGGGTGCCAGGAATGCCGTTATGCTGTGAAACAAAACCACGTTTTTGCACGGCGAGAGTTAGTTTATGAGCTGAAACGCTCGCGCTACCACAATCACTGGTCGCGCGACGTCGGGTGTTGTCGTCCCCACGTCGCTACAGATATGGCGCTTTCTAAACGTATTCATCGACATTCCTGTCTTTGTTTATATCATACTCTAATACAAAAATCCCTCTTTGACTCAATGACTGCTTATCGAAATATTAATTACGTAGGTTTCTCTCGGTGGGCTTTCTTTCGAGAGAACCCCGGTACGTGAAAAATCTGCCGCGAAAGAAAGTTGGTGAAGAGAAGAGAGCTAAAGCAAAGAAAGCTGTGTCTGTACGCTGAACCCGCACAGCGCGCTTGTTCGTCTCGAGTTCAGTCGTTGCACAAAGTGCTCCAAGAACTTTTTGACCCTGGCTCGCGCTGTCATGCATCCATGCGCTCAGGTTCTTTTTTTTTTTGTGTGTGTGTGTGTGTGTGTGTGTGTGTTTAGCTTGTTCTCGCCTTCCGGCCTGGCAAGCACGCGCCGCTGGACTGTTTTTTTTTTTTTTTGTCGTATGCTGGACAGTTACATTTTGCATACTATGACTACGACAGAGGCACCAGCCGGGACGCTTTCAATTCATTGTTTTACGTTTGCTTACTTTTGATGAAAATCTGGCACGTCGGGAACCAGTAAAACAGTAGCATGCGTTCTTTTCAGAATTGCTCGGCAACGCCTACAATACACTTGTGGGATGTCTCAGCAGTAAAAACACAAACAGCGAGTTCCGTCAGAACACAGCACAAGGTGCCTTTCGTTTGTCTACCACTTAAAACAAATATTTTTAGTTTTCTAAGAATATCTGCTCTAAAAGCCACTTTTGCTGCTCCGAAACACTCTTCTGGCTGCTCCAAAACACTGTTCTGGCTGCTCCAAAACACTGTTCTGGCTGCTCCAAAGGCCACTTTCGCTGCTCCAAAACACTGTTTTGGCTGCTCCAAAAGGTGCTCCGAAATGGCTTAGGCCAATCACATCACTGCACTGTTCTAAAAATAATTCCGAACTGTATACGCATAACAGACGTCAGGGGCAGTGACTGGACGAAGAGCCATGCATTAATTTTTTTCTTTGTGGTTTAAGAAAAGTTCCGCTGCCTGCTATTATTTGGTGCAGTCGACAGTTCCACTTTTCCCCGCTGGAAAGGACTGCCCCCTCCATATCGTTTCTTTTAAAAAAAGAAAGACCCCCCCCCCTTTTTTTTTTAGGTTTTCTGAATTTTTGTAGTTTTGTCTGCGGCTCTATTCCCATGTAACTCTGGCCACCCCTGCGATATATTATCCTATTAAACTCTCTTTTACTTTATGTGCTTGTGTCGAAACCCCGGCAGTTCAGAACCCTAGCTGCCTAGCAACCTTTGAGCGACCCAACCAAACGCATTTTCAGTCAAATTAATCACCCAATGTAGAAAAACAAAATTCAATCTGCGTCGGTAAACAAACGTTAGGTTTAATTCTATATTATCTCGAGAACGTTACCTCATCCTTTGAATATAATTCGGCAGTATAAATTATTCTGGTCTTCAGTTGAACGCGGTCATTATATGGACTCATGGCGACAAAAATGAACTAAGGAACGGAGGGATTTTTTAGAGCGCAGCTTTTAGACGCCTGTTTCGGGCTTGAGCGGCGTCGCCGTCGGCGTAACCGCGCGTTGCATTGTAGGAACGTTTTCATATTGACGTTACATGTTACGTCACGTGCGACGTCAGGAAGGCGAAATTTTCCCGCTAAATTTGGCGGCAAATATTACGCTAAATTTAGCGGAAAAATGTTACCCTCGTGACGTCACACCTGACGTCACATGTGACGTAATTTGACGTAACACGTGACGCCACTCAACCCGGGAAAGTGTCCCCGTTAAATTTAGCGGGAAAGTTTTACTCTCGTTACATCACACGTGACCCTCACTTCCGTACCCTCCCCTCCTCCTCTTCAAGAGCTGGCTTTAATTCGGCATAACAGAGAATTGTAAATGACTTTAATATTTGTTTTATATTTTATTCGAGATATGTGATCAACATTAAAATTTACTGGTCAAGTTAGTAAAACAGAACTTCAGCCAGCATAAGAGTTAGCTGTAGCACGTTTACGCGGCTCTTCTACTGTGAGAATTCATTTGACGGTTCCCTACATCCACCGCGCATGAATAATGTTTTGTAGGAACGTCACATAGATAAAATTATCGCGATGACGGACTCCGCTTTGCTTATCCTCGCCACAACTGCCTTTTAAATTTTGATTTAAGAAATCTATTTCTTATTTTTTTCAACTTCAGATTTTGTAGGAAATGTCGGAATATTTCAAATAAACGTATTTTCTCTCCATCTCCCCACAACTGCCTCGGAAGTCTATGACATCAATTTACCCAAGACTGCCCGCGATTCATATGGAAGCATTGTTCATGCTAACCTCTGCTTCAAAATGTTCATAAAATTCGGACACGAAGCAGCAAATGTCAACAATAAAATTCGGCTAGTTTTTTTTATTTGCTTTAGTAACTGTAATAATTTATGTCATACCCATCAGTACGTTCACACACTGTTTCTGGTGTAGTAATTTAATACACTTATAAACATAAAATATGTTTATATGTATTTATTTTCGTAGTTATGACTGTGCCCATACTACTCTGTACGCAAAAACTTCAAACTTCTAGAAAAAAGATTAAATAAAACACGAGTATGAAATAAAAAGATTAAAGACAAACTAAAAGCAATAAAGCCTAACCTTGGCACTCGTTTGGCGATTTAGGACGAAGAAACCCGGACTCTGGTCAAGTAAGGTCCCGTTTAGGTCTACCTTGGCATCTTCTGGCTTTTTAAGGTCCTAAAGCCCTAGACAAAAACAGATTTAACCCCAAAAACCGTGCTACATATCTTCCCCTTCCTTAAAAAAATTTTTTAAATAAAATACTATTTCACTGACAGACCACCTTAAATTAACTTACCCAAAAGGAAGCGAATTGGCCGTCATGTCATTGTGTCTCCTACGTCGTGACTTGCATCCGCTTGTGAAATCTGTCGCACGTCAAGTATACAAACACAAACTGGAAATTGTTCGATATGTCGGGGGCAGGTTCCGTTGTCCGCTTCGAAGGAGCTCACATAGGGACGCCGGACGCTTCGGAAAAAAATGCAGGACACGCGCGTGCACAAACTTTTCTACATTGACATTTGCATAAAATAAGAACTCTCGGAAACCATTGGCACCACTCTTTTTCTTCTAGAAGCGAAGGCGGAGTTCCATCAGGGATATGTTTTGTGATACTTTCTTACAACTGCGCGCCTGCTCGACACTGTGTCAGTGTATCAAGGTTTGTTGTGGCAGTCACGAAACACGGACGTCTCTGGCACCGGGCGATGAGTCGGCGAGACGAGTGCGGTCGACGGGGCGGACGGCTTTTATATGTACGCCAAGGGCGTCGGCCTAAACTTGCCGTTGTATGTGACGTGGGCTGCCGGTGGCAGGGCCATGACGCTCTCGGACTTGTGGAACTGCCCCATGTGAGGGTCGTGTAGGCTCGTGGTGTCCATCTGCTTCTTCAGCACGCTGGACACCTTGCGGCGGTACCACAACACAAGCGCCAGCACAATGATCGCGAAGATGGCCGTCGTGGAGAGGCCCACGATGAGGATGTTCCGGCGTGCGTGACCGTCGCAGTCAAGGTCGTAGTGGGATAGCGACCGAAGTAGTTCCTGGCTCAGGTGGGGTGGACTGTGGCAGCGGACGTTGGTCCAGTTCCCGTTGTGGTCGAGCGCGCGTAGAAGGTCCCAAAGCCAGATGACGCTGCAGTTGCACACCAGTGGGTTGTCTCGGATGTCAAAGGAAGCCAGCTGGTTCCAGGGCAAAAGGTCCGGATGAAAGGACTCGATGCCGTTGCCTCGCAGGCTCACCCTGGTCAGCTGACGCAGATTGCTGAAGGTTCCGGGTGCCAGAAAGGTCAGCCGTTTGTTGTCTTCGAGCACTATTTGCTCGAGCTGAGTAGACTGGCTAAAGGCAAGTTCGTCAACTATCTCGAGAGATTCAGCGCGAATAATGTGGAGACGCTTGAGGTTCTCCAGAGCTCTCAGGTGTTCCTCTGTGAGACTCCTGAACCCGTTTCGGCCGATATGTAACTCTTCGAGCCGATGCAAGTCTGACAGGGCCTCGGCTGGAAAGATGGCCAACGCGTTGTCTTGCAGGCGAAGTGAAGAGAGGGACACGAGGCTAGAGAAGCACCCTGGTTCCAGGATGGCCGTGTTGCAACGTTCCATGACGAGCTCTCGGAGGCGGACCAGGTGGCTGAACGCATTTTCTACTACCGTTGGGATAGGGTTCTGCGCCACGTCCAGAGCGAGCAAATGAGGGATGTGGTGGAACGCCGGCGTGGGGATATGACTGAGCCTGTTCTCGCGCAGCACCAAGGATTTCAGACGGTGCAAGCCCACAAATGCATCCGGGTCCACGCGGGAGATCTGATTTTGGGAGAGATCCAGCCGCTCCAGACTCCGCATGTCGTGAAAGGCCCTGGACGGCACGTCGGCAAGTCCATTGCGACGCATCTGAAGCTCCAGGAGCCCTCGAAGCCCCTTGAAGGTGTCCGCCTCTACTTCCACCACGGCATTGTTGTCTAGCAGGAGCACCTTGAGCTCTGCCAGAGGAAAATTACCACGCCCCAGCGTCCTTAGCTGGTTGTAAGAGACATCTAGGGACTCGAGCTGTTGGTAGACGCTGAAGGCGGACAGGATGTTCTTAATGTTGTTCCTCGTCAGATGCAGTTCTCGGATCTCAGGATTGAGTGTGATGGGGATGACGTCGAGGGCGGCGCCCGCGCACTGTACTGTGAGCTTGTCATCATTGCAGACGCAGCGGACTGGGCAGAAGGCGTGGGCCCGCGCTGCCACAAAGCCCAAGAGCGCGAGCAGAGCCAGCAGCTGGGGAACACTCGGAGGTCCTCTCTCCCGCGCCATGGGCTACAGCAGCGGCTGCAGTTGGTGCTGCAAAGATAAAAGTAGACGGAAGCATCACAATTCTGCTCAGGCTGCATACAGCAAAACGTGAAAGTTGAGACATCCCCGACATGAAGGTACTCTATATTTTCTAGTTGGTATTTTCCTCTTTTTCCGTGTTTTCCGTGGTCTGATTTACCATGCCACTCTCTTTTCTCTTATCTTGTATTTATTAATTTTGTTTCATGTATTAAGATTTACAAAGTGAGCAAAATATAACATGTGCTCTATCGGCTTCTTTACTAATTTATTTTTTCTCCCAATTTTGAAAATAACTTTGATTGACGGAAATGAAACAACATATTTATAACGAAGCTTTTTAATAATTTAAAATGCTAAAACATTGCCTCACGATTTCATGCATTTTTATTTCCCGAGTCTGCCACTTCTAATTCACGTAATAAAGTTTACTGAAATATTTGCTTGCTTATAAATTCTTCGTTTATCCTTATATTTCTTAAGGTGGAGGGGGGATGAAAACGTTCATATTTCAAACGTTTAGTACAACCTTAGGAAGGTGGGCGAGCGAAACTCTGTAGCTTTTGAGCAGTGCTTTTTTTGCTTGAGTCATTTTTGCCACCTATTTCTACAGAACCTATGATTTTATTACCGTGCATTTGTTCAGCCTTGGTCTTGCGAAACAATCTACCAAAATCCGCTTATGTGCGACATCACGGCAAACAAGCGTTTGTTTGCGTAAGGATACTCTCTGAATGGTACAAGTTGAAACAACACTAATCCCCCTTTGCGTCTTGTAAATCACGCGACATTCAATATTCACCGAACGTGCGTGAAGACACACAGTACGGGAGAGTTTATGAGAAAAGCCGCATTGTGTGCTGACGGCACATGCTCGATGAAGTTGGGTTCACCAAATTCATCGAAACTAGTGTGACCCGCAACGCGTCTTCGACTGGTGTATTTAGTGTCCTGTTACGCCCGTGCCTAAAAGGTAGTCCCGAAGTGGCAAAAAATGATGTCAAAGAAGGCAGCGTGTTTTGCTGTCAGATGTCACGATCCTGGCGGTCGGTAGCAGAAGTCCCTGTAGAAAAAAGTGCGAGCGAACGCGAATGTTGTTGTCGTCGGGAAGCGCGAAATCCTGGCTGCCGAGGCTTCCGTAGTCTGACAAGCTGGAAAGCGCCCGGCAGCAGAACAGGCGTGACCCCGAAAAAATGAAGCGCCCACGTTCTAGGACACGGTGAAGCCGTACACCGTGGACGCGTTCCAGGCACCTTGATCGAAACACGCGTGGCGCAATATAGTAAGGAGAAACGCGTCAGAGGGAGTTCAGCATACGTTCCTTAGCATTTCCTTCTGACTATAGCGCCTGCAACGCGCACCTCCAGCTGGTGTGTTTACCGAGACTTAAGAAGTGGTCCCTTGATTTTCGCCTACTGACGCTACAGAAGTGTCAAGCCGTCACCAGCCGCGACTCCTGGCGATGTCACAACAGCAGTGGTAGATGCGACAGATGTCCATTCTGCTGCAAGATGCTCTCCAGCGTGACAGTGTGTTGAAGATTCAGCAGGCAGAAATTGGGATTCCGAGAAAAAAAAAGGACGCTCGCGTTCGCTCGAACGTTTTCTGAGGGTACATCTAGAGTCGACCGCCAGGATCTCGATGTCCGACAGCATGACGTCGTCTGTGACGTCAATAGTCTCCACTTCGGTTTCGCCTTCCTATGTGTGCGCTATATAGACCGCTATACACACCAGTCAAAGACGAGTTTCATGCGTCTTATTTCTGACCTAGAGCCCGGAAGCATGAACCAGACGGGTGAAGGCCTTTGGCGGCTTACACACGCGTTGGCTCCAGAGCATCCAATCTTTACTCCCCGACATTCCCCTCTGCAAAAAGAATCGGGGAGTTTGACCTAGATATTCCCCATCAAACAAGAAGTCGAGAAAAAAAATATCCGAACGATTTGCCAGGAGCATTCCAATCTCGGCCGCCACCCCCTCCTCCGCCCCCCTCCCCAAAATAGGCGTATCTTTCTCGCAGCCTCGCCCGTCTGGGTTATAAACGCAGCGGAAAAGAGGGTTTCCATCTCTTCGACGCGATAAAGAGAGCTACAGGCATTCGAAGGGAGCGAAGGGAAATTTTTCTGACGGCTCCTTCAGAACGCGGCTAGGAGCACGGCTCGGAGATAGTGCACGTGGCAAGGAAAGCTTTAGAAGATAGTCGTGCCTTAACGTTGGTTTTACAAATTTCGGTTTTCAATAAAAGATGAGGATGAATGATCGCGGCATATTTCTTTTTGTAACAGATCGGCGCTAAACACGTACACAGAAAATTTTTTATCGAAACTTCGGTTGATTGTGATAATGTTTTGCTGGTATCTAGGAAGTCAACGTAAATTGTAATTTATTTGGGTAATGACACAAAGCACGAGAACACTGTCCTTTAAGGGATGTGTAAATCTCAGAAAGGGTCGTTGAACGAAACCGACATTTATCTCATTTGTGCTGTCAGGCTCTTGCTCAGAACAGCTGTTTGTTCAGAGAAAATAGAGTAAGGGTGCAATCTAGCTGCTGAATATAAACCATGTTGAATTAGCCTGAGACTGGGGTAGAAGAGCAACATCAAAACGCAGAAGGGACAAAGAAATATACCGGACGACATCTCGAACTCAATGCACTTCAACTGTATATGCTTTGCCCTTCTGTGTTGATGGCGATGACCTTGCGTTGTATAATATATAAGCAAGTGGACTAAATAAACGAGTTAGCTGAACTTCAGACGTCGTCCTTTCTATTGTCTGTCCCTTCTACGTTCTGACGTTTCTCTTCTAACCCAGTCTCAGGTTACTTCAACAGAGTTAACTGTTCGTCGTTTTTGTTTCATCTCGATTATTAATTTAATGCTCTCACGTCGCGTCGATTCAGTATAGACGCAGTTAAGCGCCAGCTATGATGCAGTAATGAAACTTGCAATAATTATTTCAAGCCATTTCAGATTACACGCCATAAGCGTGATATGCGGAATACGCTCTGCCGTTCCCTTAAATTCTGTTCTCATCAGACGTGTCTACGCGAAATACTTTTGATGTCAACGACACGCCTGCTGTCCCTGCGCATACTTTTAGAAAATGCACAAAATGCTCATGCTGAATAAGTACGCCTTCTCTTTTGAGGAGTATATTTCTCAGTCAAAATACACACAGCCCATCTCATATTATAGCATAACGAATGTATCTACCAAAAACTGCCGGTGAGTATGACGAGTATTTGGTGATGTTACAGTGACAGAGAGACTAACTCTTAGGGATGAATCTTGGCAGCGATTTTTTTAATTATAATAAGTAGTTTTTTTTTATTAAGACATCTTAAAAAAGTTTTAATTAAATTTTTTCTTTGTACTTGAGAAGAGGTCAAATAAAAGCATACGGTGTGTGCCCTTTATAAAAGCTCCTTGAGGAAATTCGCTTGGAAAGAAATGATGCGACTGTAGAACCTTCTGGAATATTATACTCCGCTAATAAGGTTACATGTCTTACTAAGCGGAGACGCGACGAACACTGTTCGCCAAGATAATAAAAGCATAACTTAGGAAACCAGTGAAATCTTCGACATCGCCGTTTGTTCACAAATGCGTCATATTCTGCTGAGTTGGTGACATTGAGACGCAAAAATAAAATCCTGCTAACGAGGTTTAATTGACATGCGGCAGAGCAAGTTTATTTTATATTATTTTTTTACTGTTTAGGGTAAGACGCAAAGATGAACGGAAAAGAAAAAGAGAGAACGTCGACAACCTAAAAGACAGTTCGGATTCTTCTTTAAAATAAAATAGTAAGACAAACAAAAAATCTATTTTGAGAAACCGGATTTCAGAAAGCGAAATGTTTGACGGGAAGAAAGAAGAGCAACTTAAAGTTACTGTCTTCACAGCGGGTAAAAGTCGACATTTTGAAGTGGCGCACGCGAAAAGAAGCTCAACAGGGAATTGAGCACTAGAATTGTGACCTCGTTACCAAGAGGACCGCAATCCAAAAGATCTTCCATAAAAAAAAAAAAAAGGAAAGATGATAAAATGACGGAGCTTTGGGGAAGCCTACAAACTTTCCACATCAGGGACAACCGAAAAAGGGGATAAAATCTTCACGTTTTATATTTGTCTGTTCGTAAACTTGTTATCGCCTCCAGTAAACTCGAGCGTGCTAGCGTCAATCAGGAGAGTTTTCGATTGTCCGCTACGCTAGATATGTAATATTGGGTTAGAGGACAAAATGAAAAAAAAGCAAAGTGTCCGGAACCGAATCTTAGGTTGAACCGATAAACGTCAATTAGAAATTACTGCTTCCCCGACCAGGCGCACAGTCACTTAAGTAAAGAAAATATATATATACCGCACTAATGAACCGCAATTAGGGGAAACAGCACACTCTATAGGTGGGTACTGCCGCCAATAATTTGTTTATTTTCTTTTGTATAATGTGTAGAAAAAATGCTCTTGAAGGTTTTTTTTCCAATTATCGATATCTCTTTTAAAATAAATTTAACACACACGAATCTCATATCATCGTGTGGTGTCTGATAGACTAGTGCCCGTAAGCAAACCGCAAATGTTTCATTTGGGTCGCAATCCGCGCGTTGAGCATCGATCTACCCCAGTCCACTAATTAAGGGATATTCATCAGCCACAATTTGTGAGAAGCTGTTGCGCCATTGCCACGTCTTCTTTCAAGTTTTTTTGTCAGATGTTCTAATGACACGTCCATACAAAATTACGGCAATAAGAGTATTGCGCAATACAAACGGGTAATGCTACATAAGTAGCATTACTGCTACTTATGTGCTAGTATTACATTTACACTGGAATTTTGTTGTTGTTGACTGAATGTACTTCTACGTTATGATGAAGAATTAAAAAAATGATTAATCTGTTTTTATTTTCGTGGCGCTACCTTTTTGATAATTCAATCAACTAAACTGAATCTACGTCAAAACGAGGATCACAAAGGCACGGTGTCAACGTAGCCGCTTGTA